AGCCGCGCCAAGCGCTTCGTCTCCATCCCCAGGTACGTGGAGACGCTGGTGGTGGCCGACGAGTCCATGGTCAAGTTCCACGGCGATGACCTCCAGCACTACCTGCTCACCCTGATGGCCACGGCCGCCCGGCTGTACCGGCACCCCAGCATCCAGAACCCCATCAACCTCGCGGTGGTCAAGTTCCTGGTCATCGGGCAGGACGACAAAGGGCCCAAAGTGACGGGCAACGCTGCGCTCACCTTGCGCAACTTCTGCGTCTGGCAGAAGAAGTGGAACAAGGGCAGCGACAAGCACCCGGAGTACTGGGACACGGCCATCCTCTTCACCAAACAGGTGTGGGGCTCAAGCGGGCAAGAGGGACGGGATGGCTGGGGAAGGGGTGATCTCGGGGACCTCGCCCACGGCGGTGCCTTGAATCAGGGCTCCCTCCTCCTCGCCAGCCTGGGGTGACCTTCTCTTCCCCTCTGGATGTTTCTGCCCGTCCCCTCCCTCGGGGGCTGCGGGGCTTTGCTTCAGAGCCTCCCCCAGGCGGGAGATGCCCTTGCCCCTCACTGCCTCCAGAAGCACTGAGCTCCCCCCCACCCACCGTCCCATACATGACGGAACTCCGTCTTTGCAGCCCAACCAGGCAAGGAGGAGCAGGAGCTGTAAGGATCCCAGATGTGGCGCAGCCAATGAGCACCTTTGCCAAGGGTGGGTGGAATCATCCTTGCTCCCTGGCATGGGTTTCTTCCCTGCCTGTCTCAAGTAGCAATCTCTATCTAAGAAACATTTCCCTGGGAGCAAGGCACAGTGTTCCTTGAGGATCTGGCTTCCAAATAAGCATGGTGGGAGGTGGGGGCAAGAGGCCAGTTCCACGTGCTGTCAAAGATGCTTTGAAACATGCCCACATTAGGGATTGGAGAGCATCGCCCGTTGTGGCACTGTAAAGCTTGCCTTCGTGGTAGGTGGCTGGCAGTATAAATTGCTGGCTTGGAAATGCTTCTGGGGGAGGCCAGGCAGCCTGGTGACTTCATGGATGTATCCATCTAATTTTCTTGTTAGCAGCATGGAAGAGGGCTTGGCCTTTGCCTTCATCCTAGATGACTTTTTTGACTTCCCAGTTGAATCTACAGTCCTGGGTATTCCTTGTGGCCTCCCAACCTACAGGTCACTTGGTTTGACTGGATGTACCTCAGGCAAGGTCACTTGGGTGCTGTCACTTAGCTGGAGGAGCAGGATGGGCCACTGAAACCCAAGAGCAGTATTTCTCAACCTTGGCCACTTGAAGATGTGTGGACTCCAACTTCCAGAATTCCCCAGCCAGCAT